AACCAAAAGAAAGTGCATGCGTTTTTTTTAAATATTTAAGTGACTGAATTAACAGTATCCACATAGTAATAATACATATTGATTTTGTAATAAAACTAAAAGCCAATGAAACAAATATGTATTTGTATGTATATATATAACATGTATGTACTGTATGTTAGTATGAATGTATGGATGTATGTGTATTTAAAGGTATATTCTGAAAAAAACATTACGAATTTGCCGTTAGCGTGAAGTGTCCCCTAGGTACCTCCAACACACTCGCACACACACTTAAACAAACACTGATGCACAAACACTGATGCACACACAAGTACACACCCTGGAAAACATGTTTTTGCTCTTAATATATCCAAGCACAATACTGCCCAAATGGAAACAGTGCTGCCCTTTTCAACATCCTAACTGTATTGTTACTAAGACTTATGCACTACTATGGACATAAACGAATGTATTGCCTATCTTCTTAGCGACAGCACGGTTCTGTCCTCAAGTTTTTTTGTTCTGTTCTGCTTCATTTTTCTCATCAATGTCTGTGTTTATCCGTTTGCGTACTGCCTGGCGGAGCTGCTCAATATTGATTTGCACTGAACAACAAAAGGAAAACTGAAGAGTCATCGTCGTCATTCTTGGACGTTCCATTAATATTCTCATGCAAAAAGAGGAGTAAACTTTGGATGCTTTTAATCCGTTGAGGCCGAGACTACAGGAAACCAAACTGTGAATCTTGAAGACCACTCATGGATCCATTAATTTCCATTTTTGATGAACTAACATGTAGGAGCCATTTATATCATGCATGCATGCATTTTCCATGTTATTTACGTTATAGCTTTCCCTGTAGCTGACATAATGCAAAGAGATAAACTCTCATTACCTCAGTAAAATCATGTGGTAATGGGCTAGTTGACATGTTCGGTCAAAGTATGTTTTTGTCACGATAGACCGTATGACTGTGGAAAGAAGTGAAAAGAAGGTGCTTTTCTGGTTAATGCTTGCAGGCTTTCCACTAATTATTTAATAAACTGTAATTTAAATACCCGCTGCAGAAAGAAGTGCCCTTGACTACTAGCGTGCACGCCAAACCTTTGTCGATACTTACATACGTTCCAAAAGAGAGAAAAAAAAACAAAAAAAAAAACATTTTGGATGTGGCAACATTAACACTAGGCCTAATTTAGATTTAGAAGGCATTTGGTTTAGCAATGATTTATATTCTTTGATGATTTTGAGAGTTTTGATTAATGCCGTTATGCAATGCTGAGGTAACATTTATTTTTCTATACTAATGAGGCCAGCGAGTTGTCTTTCTTTGTGATATTTCGAGCATCATAGGACTAGCGTCTGCCGAATGAGAGTCATTTTCAAAGATCTAATAGTTGTTTTTGGAAATTCGAGAGCAGGCGAAATGAGAAAGATTGACGTGAATGATGTCTCGTGTTCAACGAACAAAATTAGATTCTTTGGAAAGTACACTTTCAGCATCTTTAATGTCAGAGCTCTTTGTGAAATGTCCAAAAGATGGTGACATTAATAGCTCACAGCAATGATGTCATAATTCTGTCATACTCTGTGAAATATGATGCATTTAAGTGCAGAATGGCAAAGCAAGGCGTGAAATCAGAAATGGGTTTCTGATTATTGAGGAATAAAAATCAAGCTATGTAGCAATCTTGCAGTTTCTTCAACTCCATTCGGTGTCATCCTGTAACCTCATTCAAATCATGTGCTGTAAATAAAATCCTTATTGCAAAGGTCTGTCTCATTTGTTAACGGCTATAGAGATTTATAAAAGACCAGTAAATTGTATAGATATATTAAGATACTCTCACTATTTCACTGAATCACTGCACTATTTTACACTCAACATCCTAACTGTATTGTTACTAAGACTTATGCACTACTATGGACATAAACGAATGTATTGCCTATCTTCTTAGCGACAGCACGGTTCTGTCCTCAAGTTTTTTTGTTCTGTTCTGCTTCATTTTTCTCATCAATGTCTGTGTTTATCCGTTTGCGTACTGCCTGGCGGAGCTGCTCAATATTGATTTGCACTGAACAACAAAAGGAAAACTGAAGAGTCATCGTCGTCATTCTTGGACGTTCCATTAATATTCTCATGCAAAAAGAGGAGTAAACTTTGGATGCTTTTAATCCGTTGAGGCCGAGACTACAGGAAACCAAACTGTGAATCTTGAAGACCACTCATGGATCCATTAATTTCCATTTTTGATGAACTAACATGTAGGAGCCATTTATATCATGCATGCATGCATTTTCCATGTTATTTACGTTATAGCTTTCCCTGTAGCTGACATAATGCAAAGAGATAAACTCTCATTACCTCAGTAAAATCATGTGGTAATGGGCTAGTTGACATGTTCGGTCAAAGTATGTTTTTGTCACGATAGACCGTATGACTGTGGAAAGAAGTGAAAAGAAGGTGCTTTTCTGGTTAATGCTTGCAGGCTTTCCACTAATTATTTAATAAACTGTAATTTAAATACCCGCTGCAGAAAGAAGTGCCCTTGACTACTAGCGTGCACGCCAAACCTTTGTCGATACTTACATACGTTCCAAAAGAGAGAAAAAAAAACAAAAAAAAAAACATTTTGGATGTGGCAACATTAACACTAGGCCTAATTTAGATTTAGAAGGCATTTGGTTTAGCAATGATTTATATTCTTTGATGATTTTGAGAGTTTTGATTAATGCCGTTATGCAATGCTGAGGTAACATTTATTTTTCTATACTAATGAGGCCAGCGAGTTGTCTTTCTTTGTGATATTTCGAGCATCATAGGACTAGCGTCTGCCGAATGAGAGTCATTTTCAAAGATCTAATAGTTGTTTTTGGAAATTCGAGAGCAGGCGAAATGAGAAAGATTGACGTGAATGATGTCTCGTGTTCAACGAACAAAATTAGATTCTTTGGAAAGTACACTTTCAGCATCTTTAATGTCAGAGCTCTTTGTGAAATGTCCAAAAGATGGTGACATTAATAGCTCACAGCAATGATGTCATAATTCTGTCATACTCTGTGAAATATGATGCATTTAAGTGCAGAATGGCAAAGCAAGGCGTGAAATCAGAAATGGGTTTCTGATTATTGAGGAATAAAAATCAAGCTATGTAGCAATCTTGCAGTTTCTTCAACTCCATTCGGTGTCATCCTGTAACCTCATTCAAATCATGTGCTGTAAATAAAATCCTTATTGCAAAGGTCTGTCTCATTTGTTAACGGCTATAGAGATTTATAAAAGACCAGTAAATTGTATAGATATATTAAGATACTCTCACTATTTCACTGAATCACTGCACTATTTTACACAATGATTAAAAAAAAAAAAAACATCATTCCACATCTGACTAATCTAAGAAAATATGTGCCATAAAAGCTTTTTTAATTCAAATGTATCACTGTTTATTGAATTGTTATTAATTCCTGGAAGATATGATCAAGATTGAATGCTTTTAGATATATAAATCTCCTTCCCATTATTCAAAACATTTCACAAAACCATCAGTAACATTTCAAAACTTCGTTATGAATCAAACATTTTCTGTTGATATCTCATCACACCAAGAAGGAAAGAGATGAATGAATAAATAAATTAATAAATATGACAAAAACAAACAAACATGGAAGCCAATAAAGTTATTGCTCACAGACTGAACAGATATAAAAATCACATTAAATTAACTGTAACATTTAAAAGACGACAGCAGATCACATGAACCATAGATTGTTCATAAACAGCAGAGTCCTCGGTTTAAAGACATGAGAGACACCTGAGAGAGTTTTCAGAAAAAAAAGATGGATAGATGATGGCAGGACATGAAGAATTTCATTAAGAAAGGACAGTGTGCACATCCTGAATTTTAAATTGCTTAAAAATGTATAACTGGAAAAGATCACAAAAAAAAATATGTTCCAGGTGAAAAGAAAGTTCAGATTCTGAAAAGGTCCACAATGGGCCACCTGCTGGCCACTACTTGCTGTACCACCTGCTGGCCACGATGCAGTGTAAATATTCTTTGCTGGAAATCGATTTTTGACATTTTATAACATAAAAGGGTCCACGCCCTTTAATAAAGTGTTCATATGAAATGATTTAGGTGCATGAAGACAAGTGCTTTTTTGAGGTCTGAAATAATGTCTGCCGCATGTAAACCTGGTTCAACATTATCAGCAGCATTTATGTTGCTAATGATAGTGTTCATGTTTTGGTGCTCTAATAAAATCATTTTTTATATAATCAGTTAATGTTTGAAGATTCCCCATCCATTTTTTTTTAAATCCCACTGAAAAGAAGTGCAGCCACAGGGTCAGTGTTACATTACACTACTGAACGTCAAGGGAACACACTGAAAAATATATTTGAAGTGTTATTGGGGAGAAGAAAAAAAAATCGAGCACCTATTTGACCATAATCTCAATAATAAGTCTCATGATACATGATACATATTTCTACTGGGGCAGCTTATATTTATTTACAGAGTTTTTTTTAGAAGAAAATGAAAAAAGGAGGAAGAGGAAGAGGAAGAGGAAGAGCAAGTGGTAGTGGAAGAGAATAAATGTATTTACAGAAATTTTTAGTGGAAAGAGAAATAAACAGGTGAAGTCTAAGTAGAAAAAAGAGGAAGAAAAAAATCAAGAGGAAAAAGAAGAAAGAGGACAAGAAAATTTACAGAAAATTCTAGAGGAAGAAGAAGAGCAGAAATAAGAAGAGAACTCTTTCTCTTCTTACTTTTCTTCTTTAAAAAATTCTGTAAATTTTCTTTTTTTCTTAAGTAGAAGAAAGAAGAAGAGGAAAAAAAGGAAAAGAAAATTATTTACAGAAATGTAAAAAGAGGGAGGGGGAGGAAGAGAATAAGGAAGAGAATAGAGGAAAAGGAAGCAGAAGAGAGAGGAGGAGAACAAATGTGACTCAGGAAAAGAACAGACATTTTTAAACCTTTGAAATGAGCACATGAATAAAAAAAAAAAACGAAATTTTTATATAAAAATAAATGTGAAAAAAGTACATTGATCACACCTCAAAAAGAAAAACTAACTTTACTTGTTCTAAAGGGGCTCCTCGTCCTCATTTTCTTCACCTTCCTTGTTCTCCGGGACGGGCTGTAGGGTGGAGAGAGGGATGGGGGGTGGAGGAGAAGAGGGCGGCAGGTTTGCGCTGCTATCGGGACTTCCTTTCTCACTGTCACTGCTTCCTGTCCCGCTACTGCTTCCTGTTGTCGAGCTACTGTTGTTCCCTACAATCACTTCCCGCTTCACGCCCTCAATCCACACTTTCATGTCCTCCTTTTCTTCCTTCACTGGGGCCGCTGGGCTGGGGGAATGAGCATGAGGGACCACGGGTACAGACAGAGGCGAGGAGGGAGCTGTGGTGGAGCCGGGCGAGGATGGAGGGGAGGAGGCCGGAGGTGGCTTCGAAGCTTTACGAATTGTGTCACGGAAACTGGCCAAAGGGGGGCGCAAGCGCACGCCACTGCGCGTGGAGCCCTCAATGGCTTTTTGGAGCTGATGCAGAAGAAGAAAGAAGGGTTAAACAATCTAAAAAAGGAGAATTTACTAGCAGCAACAATGCATGGATGGATGGAGATGGGCTACCTCTTTCAGTGCCACGACTCCCACTAGTTTTCCAGTATTGGTTACATAGGCATGACTGAGGCCCAGTAGAGAGAACAGGGTATGAGTCTGGGGGAAAAAAAAGGTGTTTTTTTACAGACCTTCAAAAAAATCATCAAGATATTCTAAATTATTTTAAATAACTATGCTTAAACAAAAAAGATTTGTTCATTTACACCAGTGTTTTCCAAACTGAAGTTTGTGAGTAAATGAAAAGCTAATAATTAATACATGTAACATTAAAATAAATAAATAACTGTACTATAAAAAAACTAATCAAAATAAAACACTTACTAAAAATTTTTATTTTATATAATATTTAGTTTACCTGTTTGCCATGTGACTATTAACAGACATCAGTGAACTGTGAACATGCGAAAGTGTTGTTGAATTATTGAAATATTAACTTAAAGCTGCAGTCCGTAAGTTTTGCCTCTTTGTCGCCATCTCTAAAAGGCTATAAACGATCGGCCACCTGCAGGATCCTCATATGCTACTTATAGCCTACTAGCGGGGACAACTTCTTTATGTTTATAGACGTGACGTAATGACGCAGTGCCATGCTCGAATTTCCCGCGAAAACCTACCCGTACCACTCAAATTAGAAAACATTATTATAATGTATAATAAGCTAACCGTTGTGAATCGGGCTAAAGTAAGGCGATAGTTTTGAACACTGGCTGGTTATGTACTTGCTCAAATATTGATTTTGGATCATTTTTAACCAAAAAAAGTTACGGACTTCAGCTTTAAAATCGCAATATTTTAGGTTAACCTGGTTTGGCTGACAAAAAGTTTATGAATTACTGATTTACACTAATAAATAGGAACGCATCATTAAAATTTTGACTGATACAATTAGCCGATAATGATTTAAAAATATGATTTAATTAATAATGATTAATTATATGAAGGAAATTTAATGTTAATTGAATATATTATATATTAAAATCTACACTATTTTGTTAAATTAAAATGCTAAAACTGAAATTAGGTTTAAATCTACAAGTGAATTTAGGCATCACAACATAATGTACAGTATAAAAATGTATATTCTTTTTGAGATTTGCTAGATTACATTGTTAAATGTCAACTAATCCAATATTAGCTGATACTGATAAATAAAATAAAAAATCTAATATGGTATAGATATATCATGCATTCATCACTATTGCCTTCTCTAGAGCTGATTATAGGTGAATTGAACGTGTCTCATAATTGACACTTAAACTGAACTGAATCAACACTGAACTGACTTGAGCTGAATAATGACACTATTGTCTTCTGTAGTACTGCTTTACAGATGAAATTGACTATTTCAAAATTGATGCACTTTGCAACATTAATACTGTTATTTTCCAGTTTTTTTACTGTGAAGCTGTACAGTCTTTATTGTATAAAGCACTACATAAATAAATTTGACTTGACATGGCATGGCATGTCTCTCACCTTATGTAGTGACGTTCTCTCCACCAGCTGGAAGGGGGAGGGGTCTATTCTGATCTGATCGATTTCCAGAGGTTTGTCCATCTCTGTCTCCTCCCAGGCTTTGATCTATGTGACCCAATCAAAACCAGGTAAGGCTTTGACTCTAATATTCCTTATTTTATTTGAGCAACTCTTCTGCATTTATAAACTACACAGGAATTAAAACAAATAACAATATCCAGAATCTACATTAATACAATTTCCATGCTTTAAAGGGTTAGTTCACCCAAAAATGAAAATTAGCCCATAAATTACTCACCCTCAAGTCATCCTAGGTGTATATGACTTTCTTCTTTCAGACAAATCCAGTCGGAGTTATATTAAAAAGCGTCTTTGAGCTTTCAAGCTGTTTCATGGCACTCAGCGGGTGTTGCATGCTTCAGTCCAAAAGCAGTTAAATAAAATGCGCCCATCCATAAAAAAAGTGTCTCGCATGGCTCCGGGGGGTGAACAATGGCCTTCTGTAGCAAATCGATGCGTTTTGTAAGAAAAATATCCATATTCAAAACGTAATAATCACTTTAATCTAGCTTGCGCTCACTGTTGTACACTGGAAGCAGTTCCGGCCGGATGCGCAAAGCCGACCTCCATACGTCATCCACCCGGAACTGCTCCCAGTGTTCAACAGTGAGAGCAAACTAGATTTATAGATTTATTTATTCTAGCTACTTTTTTTTTATGGATGGTGCATTTTAATTAAGTGCTTTTGGACTGATGCATGCAGCACCCGCTGAGTGCCATTAAACAGCTTGAAAGATCAAAGACAATTTTTTATATAACTCCGACTGGATTCGTCTGAAAGAAGAAAGTCATATACACCTAGGATGACTTGAGGGTGAGTAATTTATGGGCTAATTTTCATTTTTGGGTGAACTAACCCTTTAAAGCATGGAAATTGTATTAATGTAGATTCTGGATATTTTTGTGGGCTAATTTAAATTTTTTGCTGAACTAACTCTTTAATGTCTAATTGGAATCTTATTTTTTATAGTATTGGTAATACCTGTTCTGGTGTCATTGTGTCAGTTAAAGGTGGAGGATAAGGCTCCTAGGGTGAAAAATGGCAAGGAAATTCAATTATACATGACATGGTGCATTTGTACCAAGCATTCAAACTCATTAACATTTTAGAGTATTTTCATATTGACACATTCTATGGAAGACCATTCACTTTCCTTTAACCGCACGTTCTTGAAAAACACTGATGAATATTAATGTAGACCATTAGCAATATATTCGCTCTTCTCATTTTATCGACCTTACATTAAAATTTCATACATGCTGAGAGTAATTCATTTAGTGCACTCAAATTCACTTGATGGAACAGACACACACAGGTTTTCACAAGGGACTTATAGACACAAACAATGTACCTGTAGCTGACCTTCTGTGTGTCGTTCTGAAGAGGATGAAAAGTAGTTACGTAAAATTCTCCCGAAAGACTGGGAAGGACCCTTATCTAGGCAAGAAGAGAAGGATAGAGAGAAGGAGAAAAACGAAAAAGTCGGAAGGCGGATTAGAGGATGAGTATCACTTATGACGCCTCAAGATGCTTGTTCAAAAGAAGTGCTTGCCCGAGGTTTATTAAGGTTTTTAAAAAGGATGGCTTGGTTATGTTTGCTGGAGATTTTCTCACCGGGAGACGTGTGATTGGTGGATGGTTCTGAAGGTTTGGATGGAGGCACAGGACCGTTTCTTTCCTCTTTATCTGGTATCGTCTAAACATTCACAGAGAACAAATACAAATAGTAATTTTGAATCTTCATGAAAAATTAAGTCTCGATATATAAACTCGATATTATGTTTTCATTATTATTTATTACATTTTATATTTTATGAGCACAGCAGCTTCAGAAAAGGCATTCAAGATAGATAGATAGATAGATAGATAGATACCTTATCATCTTCATTCTCCTCTTCCTCCTCATCAACAAAGGCAAAGGATTCCCAGCTGATTTTGGCACAAGGCACTTGACCTTGTGAGCTCTGTCCTTGTGTTAGGATCCGCCTCTCTGCTGACAGCCACCAATCACAGAGGGCGAGAAGCTCAGACCTCTCAATGCTGCCCAATAGAATCATAGATTCTGTTGAAGGTGAAGTGAGTTCAGAAGCCAGTTACATATGAGAATTAAAATGTTTTCTGACACTAAGGCTCTGTTCCAAAATCTATACTGTCGAGATAGGCCTTATGTGACTGATTTGAAATTCTACAAAGAAGCAACTTTATGTTGCTAAGCTATCAATATGAGGTTGATAGCTTGCTAGGTTTTTAAACAGTGCTTTAGATTGTTTGAGTGAAACAATATAAAAGTACATACAGTAGCTCACCTTGGTAGACTGCATGCAGCTAGAAAAATGTCATAATGAGAAGTTCAATTAGATACAGGGAATTGTCTAGACAGCCTGTGTGACATTACCTTTTGAGTCGACCAGCGGGAAGGTTTTTAAAGAGGTCGAGTCCAGCAAATGCAGTCCTTCTCTGTATGTAGAGTGGGAAGATAAAAACTTGACTTTCCTCACCATGATGTCCTCCACGAAGATGTTATACTGGCTGCAAGAAAACAGAGAATCTGAAGTAAGGCCACAAGCTTAAGGCTGGTTGAAACAGTTTAAAAGCTTAATAACTCTAGACTGGTGGTCTCAGGTCTGTTCTGACAAGGAAAATTCAATTCTTAATCCAAAAAATAAAATGCACGGACCATATAAAAGTGCATAGTTAGAACAGCAAAATATATAGGCTTTAAAAGGAAGCAGAAAATGGTTCCTATTTCTTTTGGCACATTTGATCAAACTTATTGGCTGCTTTAATAATATGTCATAACATAATGACACATACCATATTAGGCCCAGTAATAATCATTAGCAAACCTAAAATAAGTGAACATATATTTTTCATATTTTACAAGTGTTATTTTAGTATCACTGAGATACTATTATAGTTTTTGTTAATAGTTTGAATTAGATTTTATTTTTATATTTCCTGCGTGCATGCTAATTTTAGTTTTGTTGTATGTTTTTGTCATTTTTTTAAATTATTTTTTTGTTGTTTTTAAATATGTCTATATAGTTTTTTATACATTTTTTATTTCAGTTTTAGTTTTTTAGTACATCAAGATAAATTAAAAGACCTTGGAAATTAGCTGAAATTAAATAAGTTGAAGTTTTTTATATTGTATTTATTTATTTTAAAATTTAAATAATACCATTTTTATGTTTTAAGTTTTAATTAACTATAATAACCCTGTAACTGTATATTACAAAGTTATATTGATGTCTAAATTCACTTTTGGCATTTAAAGTGATATTTTTCTTTTAATTTATTTATACAAATAGTAAATCATTTAAATATCAGCCCTTTAAATATCAGCTTATTGGTATTGGACAAAATTGTTATATTGATTCCCAGTTACATATTCCTATTCAATCTGAATTTCATGCCTTTCATGTCATATTATTAATTTAACATGTTGCTTACATAGTTCATTGCTAATATTCATTACACAGTTCATTGCAATATTAGAGTTTCAGTGTTTGATTTTTAAGTCCCTAATTTTATCCCTTAAAACTCAACTTTGATGACGTTTAAATGTTTTTTCCCATGAACAAAATTTCTTCATGCCTTAAAATGGCTTATATATAACTCTACACCCTTACCTCATTTAGTATACACAGACCAATGAATATGCAAATCAGTCCACGCCTCCACTCAATTATACCTGCTCCACTTTCACTCGGTTCACTGAAGTAGCAGTAACGCTAGTAGTAACGTTACACAATGACAAGTGGCAATATTAGATTAATGTTTGAACCAGAAACTGATTCAGATGAAGAAGAGGAAGAGTGAATTATTCAGGATTGTCTACAAGTCCATGTATCAGAATGGTAATGCATTTTATGTATTGCCCTCTATAATGTCAGACACATATATAATATAATAATAATTGATATCATTAGCTTTTGGCTTCACTACGTTATCAAACAGCTAATTTTGCTAATGTTACACAAACCATGGTTCTGTTCGCCATCTCAGACAGTTAATAATATGAAAAGCTCCACCCCGCAAGTTGATGGGATTGGTTACATGTTTTGTGACCATAGGAAACGGGCTGTTTCAAACCACATTTTGGTCTTTGGTACATTGCAGTTTACAGGAGAAAATGCTCAGCAATGATGTTGACTGAAGAATTTCCACATGGATTGTCTTTAAGCAGATTGAAAAACCCCTGGAAGACATGTAAAGAATGTTAAAAACTTGGCACGGGGTCTTTAAGGACATTTTCGATTGCTTCTGTACAATTTTGGTAATGTGTTTGGTCACCACTTGATGTCCAATGTCAACTCTTGAACCACTACTTCACACCACAAAAGGGTAGATTAAGACGCAGAGTGCATCCTTGATAAAGAGGTAATGAATAGCCCAAATCTAATGTGTGTGGAGAGGCTCAGTGTTAGCTGGAAGGGTGCCAAAGCTTCATGTTGCCACCGCTCGTTGACAAGTGTATTTACTAATAGCTCCCGCTGCTAATGAATCACAAGGACTTTGAGGTGCTGTCAGCATGCAAGGGTGCGGGAATCTGGCTGCGCTGTGAGCCAAGCTGTTTTGTCACATACGTGGAGCCACGGCGATGGCGTTTGCAATGTCTGCACACCTTATGTGGCCGAAGCCCAGCTCGGGGAGATAGGGCAGCTTCTTGACCTGGATGATGGAGTCGTACAGCGATGGCTGCAGACCCTGCGCTACCATGTTGGCCAAGATGACAGCGACCATCATGGGAAGGATGTGAGAGATCTGACCTGTCAGCTCGAAGCAGATCACCGCCGTGGAAACAGTATGAGTGACGGCCCCTGTCAGCGCCGCCGCACCTTAAGAGAAAGGGATAGACCAATAGAGTAACAGGACAGAAGGATGGAGTGCTATAAGAAAGAGTCATGACAGGAGTGACATAATGAACGGAAAGAGTATGGACACATGCAGCGGAAGATTAAGAGAAGAAGGGACAGGAACAGGAAGTGACATCATCAGCACAGTATGAGCAAACATTAGGTAATAGTGGTGGGCGAACGCCGGGAGCTCCTGCAGGTCGAAAGGAAAATCCATGCGGAAGTTGGTTCGGAAGAGAGCAGTGATGGTGACTGAAACAACAGATATGGAAGAGAAAAGTCATCTGACATCTCAAGGCTTCCAAGACCTTCACTCAGGAATATGATTTAGTATCTCACCTGCATCCTTATTAAACACAGACAGCACTCTGAAAATAAAAGCACTGAATGTGGCAGCAAAGTAACCCCTCCAGTAGTTTCTCACAGCAAAATAGGTTGATGTAACTTCAATGCTGAACAAAACACCTGGATAAACAAAAGAAACATTTAGAAGGGGGTTCTGTCATGTACAGCAGGGATTTTCATACTTTCTGAAGCCAAGGACTACAAATATGATGATAGAATATGAAGACTTGAAGTATACTTGTAAGCTGTGAAATATTTTAACAATTTAAATTAACTGTTTTATATTTTAATATACTTTGGAATGTGGAATAAAATTATTAATTTCTATCCAAAAAATAAAAAAATAAAAAATCTGACCCCAAAATTTGGAATTGTAGTGTATATATTATTATTATTATTATTTAGTTCTTTACTTTTTATACAATTGTTTATTCTTGTTTTAAGTATAAACCTGAATACATTTCGTCAGATTTATACCTAAAACAAAATTGACAATGACTTTACAGGCAAACAATCATAAATAATGATTAAGATTCAGAATAAAAAAATATTTGAAATAGAAATCTTTTTATAAAAATGTAAACTTTTATTTACTGGTAATTTGAATACAATTTTAATGCATTCTTCCAGGAACACCAATTGTTTAACCTTGCTACATTTTTGTCAGATTTATAACTAAAACAATGTTTGACAATGCCATTTATGCATTTTACTTATCAAGAATAATCTGAAAATGCCATTTTTGCACATGCACGTTACCTCCAAGAGGGGTTCCAAAACAGCATCCAACCCCCACAGCACAGCCCACTGTGAGGATGTCTGTATAACAATATGGGCTCTACTGACACAGAGACAAAAAGAGTGAAGCAGACACAGTTGAGGGTACAGGTGGGAAATAATTTTTGGTAATATAAATGCCCTGGATGATATATCAGTGTTGTCCTCAAAAATAATGTATAATAAAAAAAACCCTGTCCTGTCCCTGGATGATAAACGAGCATTCAGCATTTTATGAATGGAGATGCATTGCAGGATCTACATGCACTTCTGCTTACCTGATAGACTCCAGAGAAGAAAGACATAAACTTGCTGAGCACAGCTGCACAGATACTGGCTATGTGAACAAAGGGACCCTGATGCATAAAAATAGCACAGTTTAAAGGTAAGCATCAGATGGGGCTAAAGCCAGTTTAGGTGACTCTACTGGCACTCTTACCCGCCAAATCACAGTGCATTTTGTATAATATAAAATTATTGTTACATGGTACATGTTACATGCAAAATCAAATGTGTCTCACCTCCTTGCCAACCGGCATACCGCTGCCCAGACCAGCAGTGAGTCCCACCACCTTTGCAATAAATGCCTTGAGTGTCAAATACTCCTTCAGCACAACACCTCTGAGTATGGTTTTCAGCTCTGGAATACCAGAGCCTGAGGGAAAATAAGAGTCAGAAGAGGAAAGAAAAAAGACAAAACAATCACATGGCTTGGAAAAAAGAAGGAATGAATCATGAAAGATCAATGTGAAAAGTCTGTAGACATAGATAAATGTGATAATGGATAAGGATAGTTTACACTACACAGACAAGACAGCTGAAACCGGTTATACTGTAATCTGAGTCATTGCTTTTCATGTAGCCTATAATATACTGGGCTTTTCATGAAAGTTTGGTTTTGGCTTTTAAATTACATTTGTTGCGTTTAAGCCCTCAGTTTTGTTTTGACCCCCTTTTTCTTTATATAGTCAAATAGTAAGAATGTAGACTTTAATTTTGGAAAACTTTGTTATAAGTGGAGAAATGTACAAATAAAGTATAGAAAAAAAAGTAACTGAAGAAACTGATTAACTAACCCTAACCTTCTGACAACCCAAATATTTTTAAAGTTTCAGTTTTATAAAATGAAAGTAAACCTGCATAAGTACCACAGGTTGGGAATAAATGGTCTAAATTGTGTTGTTAAAATGACTGCAGTGTATTAACCAGCAGGTGGCATTGTTGAGTAGTAAACAGCGTGCAGAAATCACAGTAGTTGAAGAAAGCATTTATGTGGCTGGTATATTAACTGAAAGTGGCACTGAATACAGAATGTGTACTTTTAAGTGACAGACAGAGTATGTAGACATCAGATTAAAAAACTGAGGTTATATAGACAGGGAAGGTCCCAAAATTACACCAAGCACCTAGTATCAGTAAAGAACTGAGTATGACTTTCAAACACAGCCATTGTGAGTTGTGCCAAATAATATAAAGTATAGAAGTAAAAAAAATCTAAACAGTGAAGCTACACACCAATGGCCTGAGGAGCAACCAGGTGGCAGAACAGGGAGGCAAACAGGATGAGCACCATGGGATAGAAGACCCAGATCAGGTACTGCAGTGGGATATTTCCACTCAACTCTCCATAAAACCACTTATATGCTGAGAGACACGGAGAAGGACAGAAGTGATGGAGCACACGAGGTAGAGAAAGAGGAAGACAGCAAATAAGGCAAAAGTTTTAGAAATGAAAATTGGGAAAAACATGGAAAGGTGGTAAAAGAATATGAGAAATAACAGTTGCCAAAATAAAACAGGGGTTTTCAATCTCATTGTATGGAACATCTCATCATCTCAACAATCTCATCATAATATATATATATATTTTTTTTTTTTTACTTTTTTTAAAAATTCTCTCTCTCTCATGCAGATATGTTTCATGTTGTATAAATTCACAAAGCTAAAGTCAGACCATTCTGTTTTTGCTTTAAATTGTGAAATTATACAATCTAATTTAAATCAAAAACTGCTCATGCAACATCTTTGTTTGGATAGTGATTGAGTGGTTCTGCAACTGTTTCATGCATTCTGATTCATATAAAAGGCACAGTCAGGGAAACCGTGATAAACCGTGAATCTGCCACAATCCTAAAAAAGATCGTGATACAGATTTTTGGTCAAACCACCCAGCACTAATGTAAAAAATATTGTATTCAAATTTTTTTGCTAGGTAAATTAGAATATATTTTGCTAAATATATTCAAATAATTTTTGCAAGTGTTAGAACTACTCTTGTTTGAAAACCCCTGAAACTGTACTGCACATAAGGAATTCTGGGTAGGGTAGTACCTTGCAGACTCTTGGCACTAGCATAATCCATGGTCCAGCTAACTAATGCCATGGTAATACCCAACAACACCAGAAAGATCCAGTCTTCTCCCAATTTAGAGATGAGGAACTTCTGTACTCGAGCCACACAGTCTGGGAAAACATTGCAATCCCTATCAGATTTCAAACCTCACACATAGTTTGTATCGGCTTTTGCAAGGTTTATTATTACTGACCTCTGCACTTGGAGTAGGATCGGCGTTTCTTGAACGAGGATGTGTGGCCCTGCTCCTCCTCCTGTCTGTCATGAATGCTGCCTATGTCCAGCTCCAGATGGTGGCGACTTCGGCTGTGACTGCGCCCATGGTGACTGTGATGGTGGTGATGTCCATGTTTTTTCCTCTGTCTCTCCATCAGAAGGCGAGAGGCCTCTCTCCGCTGGGACCCACCAGGGTGCTCCCTGTACTCTCCATATAGCTGATCACAGAAGAAAATCACAGGTTTTGTTACCCAAGAGATCAGTAGATAAATAGCTGACACATTTGTCTGAAGCGACTTACAGGTACAACACGCCTGGATCAACCGAAAGTCCATTATAGTGGTATCTCATAAACTGCACCTTGCAAGGTTTGAGCCTACAAGCTTACAAGCTTCTTATTATTATACAATCTTTTTTAAGTCATTATATTTAAAATATATAATAAATATATATTAATATATATATGTGTGCATTTGATTTTATTATTCATTAACATTCAAGAAGTCTTTGTTTTCGTTTGTGAGTAGTTCTTCAGATGAATAATGTTAAAATACAAGGCATCTTAGTAAATTTGTTTGACCGAATATTCAAAAAAAGTGCTTTTGATATCACTTTTAATATTCTTCACTGGTGTGATCACATAATAAATTGTCATAGACAATTGACTTTTAAATGTAAAAAAAAAAAAGTAAAACATCACCCTCATTTTCAAAAACAACATGACGCACCCGAGAGGTGACAGAGGAGAGGGAGTCCAAAAATAGAGGAAAATCTTCTCGACATGCTTCGAGTAAGACCACAGGCGAAAGAGCAGTAGTCTACATTTAGATTTATAACTGTCCGGATAAGACCCAGACATCTGGAAAATACATTCCTAGTGTCTTCATTCCCACTACTTTCTCTAACACAAACACAAACACAAACACAAACACACACACACACACACACACACACACACACACACACACACACACACATAGTTTGACCTCAAACAAAAAGCTTTTCTTACTTAAATCTATTAAATGAGACTGATATATGACAATTTAAACCTGCAAATCTCATGAAATACTCTACAAACAATTTGTTACAATTCCTAATGACAGGGACAGTAAATAGGATCGGGGCATGATGTAGGCCAAGCCTATGTGTCTGCGAGCATAACCCTAGTGCCATGACTCTGACTAATTTATTTACAAGCATTTATCCTACGGTTAAGAGTATGAAACAAGAAATGTTGCGGCTGGTACACAGCCACAAATGTGATGTCTCGTACATAGTCATTTTAATGCAACAGAACAGTTTATTTGCTGACAGCAGCAAATCCACGTCTTTCCACATGCTAAATATTATACTGCTGATGAATGAATCTCATTTTAGAAATGTAATGAAGTAAACAATGAAAATGACGGTAGATGCAGGAGATGCAAAGTGCTCAAAACTTCAGTCATGTAACTTGAGACTAACATGATCAAATATGTTTTTTAAAAAATGAGATGAAGGAGATTTTCGTGCTTGATAAGCCTAAATAAACTGAAAATGGAAAGCTTTCTGGCCCAAATTTGAGCAGTTCTAATGAGCCACTATTATTGTGTTATTTTGTAAATGTTATGTGGGCAACACATAACACATAAAACATCAAATTAAATGTAAAAGAAAATTTAAAAAATAAATTAACCTCATCAATTTGTTTTGCATCAAACTGTCCAAAAAAAATCGATTTCAAATAAATGCTGGTCTTTTTTATTCGTCAAAGAATCCCCACATCGTTGTTTCCTCAAAAATATTAAGCAGCAGAGCTGTTTTCAACATTGACAATAAAACTATGAGAAATGTTTCTTGAATACAAAATATTGAGTACAGCATATTAAAACAGAGAAAATATAATAAAATAATATATAAAAAAAACCATGTTAAATTATAATAACATTTTACAATATTACTGTATATTTGATTAAATAAATGCAGTACTTACCACAAACTTTTGAATCGTAGTACAAATTATTATGGTATACACAGCTATACATTTATATTTTATCTTGCTTTAAAACCATTTTTCTGTGGTTTAGGCCTAATATTTTTCAGAGAACATTAAATGTGTGTCTATATGTATTACTATTTGCAGTTTTATTGAATTTCTCACTTTCACCTTTGGAATGGGCCCATGTAGATGATAGGTTTCTCATGTATCTCTCTTCCTCATAACACATCTCACTTTCATTCCATGTGTCTATCCAGTTACTTTCACCCGTTCCCACAGTACATGTAATCCCTCGCTTCCTCCATATTTCACCCCCTCCTCTCTTCTCATCTCATCCCAGTCTGCTTCTACACCTACGGTCTTCTACACCCCCCGCAGACCCCCTCCGTCAGCCATAGATTGGAACTACCCCCTTTCTACCCAGGGCCTGTAATACTAGCCGCTAGGCTAATAATAGCTTCGTGTGACCCAATGCTCACAGCCACACTTCCCCACACACCTCTGTGTGGATCTTTCTGTCTTCCAATTTGTTCATCCGTCTTTCAAGGACTCCAAAGGAAAGTTGGAAACCTATAATCAGGCTACACTGTCATGCTAACTAGACAGCTAACAACAAATGTGGCGCTGAGTCAATATGTGCAGTTTACACATGCAAGTACGTTGAGCACAACCAAGGTGTTGTCATTTTAATTAAAAAATACTAAGAAAACAACTATAAATAAGTCATTCCAATCAGAAAATGCTAATGTGCTCAAACTAAAGCGTGTTGGAAAGAGTTTTTGATGGTATGCTGCTGTGCTTTAGGTCATGCTGATGGCAGTATGGGAAGGCTATCGAGGCAATTGTCATGGTGTTGTCATGTGATGTTATGTAAAGTCATATGTAATTCTGTTGAAGGTCTTCTAAAATAGACGTTCTTCCCATACTGGGATGACCACACTTGTCAGCATATCCCAACATGCTTGGCCTTTCTGTCAAGGCGCTTTTGTTCGGTAACTTTGCTAAATGTACACTTCGTATAAAGTAGAAGTAAAGTAAAAAAAAGTATAATAAAATAAATAAATAAATAAAATGAATGACCTCATATGTGAATGGCACAGAGTTGTTAGTGTTAACTAAAACTACTAAAAATAATTTTTGGTAACTGAAATGAAGCTGAGATAAAATAAAATCTTAATAAATATTAGATGAAAAACTTAAAAATGAGAAATGCTGCAATGGAACTAACTGAAATAAAAAAGTTTAAGGTGAAGTACTAAAATTACTAAACTAAAACCGAACTAAATAGAATAAAAAACTATAAAGCGCATAATGAAATTACTAAAACTTAAACTAAAATTAAAATGAAAAACTGAAAATATAAAAATAAATGCTAATTCAAAATATTAATAAATACTTACTACTAAAAAAAACACTGTATATGAGACAAATCTGAGATTCAGGTTGACAACATAACAGTGAATTATCAAAAAATGCAACCCCTAATATCACAAAAACTCTAAAATAACTAAATCACTGGAAAGTAAAACAGCTAAAGCTAAAAGCCCTGTTTGCAATAAATATTGCTAATAAACATCTTGAGGTTGCCAATTTGTCATGTTGGTTGCTAGTAGCTACTTCTAGTATCCAACTATATGACTGATAAAACTCTACAATCCCATTTGTTATCGCTGCATGGAATATCTGCTCATTTGCATAAAGCTGAACTCCTAGAAATCAAGAGATCAAACAAAAATGAATGACTTTTAGTTGTTTTGTTGCTGTAAATCACTGTAAGAGTGATTTATTCTGTAGGTGATCCATAACCCAAAATACTGTATGCTTATTGATTGAACATTTACACAAGTTTTCTCTTGCTTATTCAATCAGTCTCACATGCTGTTCAATAAATCACAGTGGCATGTCTCACAATAGATGACATCAACTGATTGCATAAGAAAGCAATACTACATTTTTTTATATTACACTAACCAAGATGTATGACCACCATTTCAAATGCTCAAACGCTCTACTCCATTCATCTCCCCTTCAGTCAAACCAGCAATCACAGCAGACAATCAGTCACACCAGATGCTCTGGAGCTCAAGGGACCACACTGATGGTCTCCCATGACTGGCTGAGATTAAGGAAGACATTTATAATCTATGATTGAGTTTCCACTTACACTACCATTCAAAAGTTTGGGGTCAGCAAGTTTTTTTTAAAGAAATTAATAGCAAGGATACATTTAATTGATTAAAAGAGATAGTAAAGACATTCATAATGTAACAAAAGATTTCTATTTCAAATAAATCCTGAAAAATATTCAATAAATCCTGAAACAATCTATAGGGTTTCCACAAAAATATCAAGCAGCACAACTGTTTTCAACATTGATAATAATAAGAAATGTTTTTTCAACATCAAATCATTATATTTCAATGACTTTTGAAGGATCAATTGACACTGAAGACTGGAAGAATGAATGAAGAATGATGCTGAAAATTCAGCTTTGCATCACAGGAATAAATTACATTTTAAAATACATTAAACTAGAAAACAGTTATTTGAAACTGTAATAAAATTTCACAATATTACTGTTTTTACTGTATTTTTGATCAAATAAATGCAGACTTGGTGAGCATAAGACACTTCCGTCAAAAACCATTTAAAAAAATGTTGAAAAGTAGTGTATGGAATTTGGGTGACAATGTATATTTGGGTGATTCTTCATTTAGTCTTCTGATTTTAATTCTTAGAAAATTATACATCTTCTATGTGTACTATATGTTTAAAAAAATTTGCAAGTATCCTGAAAAACGGATAGGTTTTATCCACTTTTTTTTTTGTGTTAAAGTTGTTAGAAAAAGTGCAAAATACACTTTCTGTGATTTGCAGAACATTTAAAAGTCAAGCTCAAAGCAGAAATTAAGAAAAAGTGATTAAAAAGACTATATATATTTATTAAATTATTATAATCTATACTTTAAAACTAGAATGATTATGAAAGAACACATTTATTTTTTGCATAGTCATTCTAATAGAAGAATCACCCATTTTTAATTAACTTCCTTTTTAAAGTCATAGTACGGACTGGGCTTTTTGTTTTAAAAACTATTGCACTGCAAACTTATCCAAATAAACAAAACTAGTTGTACAGACCTCTTCAGGAGCCTGTACATAAAGGAGAGATGGAGTAAAAGGGAGAGAAAAAGACAGGAAGAAAATGACTAACTCCTGTTGAACTTTCCCGCGAGTTCTGCAGCTCAGCGCTCAACACAGTGACTCAGTCCGTACAGCTAGAAATATATACGTCATGCAAAGATTGTGCAACATCTTTGAGAGCATACGATTTCAAACAACAAAAGAACAGCAATTCACATTAGTCTAAAGAGTAACCAGAAAGAGCAGAAGAAAGGGCGAGGGAGATAGAGAGAGAGCAGGAGAGAGACAGTGACTGACCACGGTCTGCTGGTATCTCAGAGCCTTCCTTTGCGATGCATCTGCGGCCATTGAAACACTGTCACTGACCCAAAAATAAACCGCCGGTCTGTCTTAGCATTCCCACCCTGGGGTGGCACGGACTGAGGGAGAGAGGGCACATGCAACTTCTCTCTCTCGATCTCTCTTTCCTGGCTTTGCACACATCCATCTCTCTCTTTCTCACACTTTCTCATGTGGTGCAACACAGCAGTCCAGTTGCCTGACTAAGCCCCATGTGTGTCTGTTTATGTGGACGTGCCTGTGCTTGGGACACATACATGCGTTTATGCATGTGTGTGAGGTTGTGAGTTACAAAGAGAGTGTAGATGCCAAACTAAACCCATCTGGCCCTTAATTAGCGGGGCTGGTTTGTTTAATAGCAGCCAATCCTGTCGCCCCTGGCAACAAACTAAGACTCTGATCACCTGTTCATTTGGAAAGGGGCACAGTGAGGGTTTGAGCAGGCGAGGGAACTCCCCGTCCTCCATGAAACATGATGAGGGCAGCACAGGGAGGACCAAATCGGCCAGAGCCATCTCTGATTCAGCCTTTTCATCATTAATGATCTACAGAATGTTAAACAATACACTTAATGACACACGGAGACAGCTTTAGCGTTAAATAAGCACATTTTGGATAGTAGTGGAAAAAAATAGGACGAGAAGAATGTAATATTTATAGACTTCAAACTATGTCTTCAATTGTGTGTATTGTGTGATTAGTATGTAACATTTCCTGAAAGATTACAAATTCATATTGTGCACAATAGTTTTGAAGATATTTTTAAAATATGCTTACAGTATACAATATTCAGCTCTCAAGTATTTATGATATTTTCAAGCACATCCAAGATGTAGACGAGATTGTTTCTTCATCGGAACAAATTTAACATTACATGTCAAGTCAAGTCAAGTCACCTTTATTTATATAGCGCTTTTAACAATACAGATTGTGTCAAAGCAACTGAACAGCATTAATTAGGAAAATAGTGTGTCAATAATGCAAAATGACAATAGTAAACACTAATTTTTCAGTTAAAGACAGTTCATCATTGAATTCAGTGATGTCAACATCCAGCTCAGTTTAAATAGTATCTTTGCAATCAAGTCAACGGTATCGCTGGAAATGAAGTGTCCCCAACTAAGCAAGCCAGAGGCGACAGCGGCAAGGAACCAAAACTCCATCGGTGACAGAATGGAGAAAAAAATCACTTGTTCACATCACTTGTTCACCAAGGGGTCCTATGCAGTGAATGGGTGCAGTCAGAATGAGAGTCCAAACAGCTGATAAAAACACCACAGTAATCCACAAGTAATCCACACCACTCCAGTTTATCAATTACTGTCTTGTGAAGTGATAAGCTGTGTGTTTGTAAGAAACAAATCCAAGGCGCTTTAACTTTAAACCATAGCTTCTGTCCAAAATATCCATAACTCCTCCAGTGAAAAAGTCCATCCCCTGTTGTCCTCTCACATCAAAATCCACCAACATATTTGTTTAGAACTGTTTTTGCTTGTAAATGGTGCTTGATCTGTGCATATTTCTCTCCTGATTCAGACAAGATTACTTTTTCATTGGATAAAGCAATATTATGGATATAGGACTCGTAATTTAGTTAAATACTTCTTAATGATGGATTTGATTTCTACAAAAAAGGCAGCTTTTCACTTCACAATACATTATTTCATGGACTGGAGTCGTGTGGATTGTTGTGATGTTTTTATCAGCTGTCTGGACTCTTCATTCTGCATGACACCCATGCACTCCGCTTGCATTATTGACAAACTATTTTCCTGTTTGACACTGTAAAGCTGCTTTGACACAATCTGTATTGTATAAAGCACTATATAAATAAAGGTGACATTACTTGACTGCTGAGTGTCCATTGGTGAGCAAATAATGCAATGCAAAATTTCTCCAAATCTGTTCTGATGAAGAAACAAACTCATCTACATTTTGGATGGCCTGAAGGTGAGTAAATTTGAATACAATTTTCTCATTTTAAGATTTATTCACATACAGGTAGAATCTCATGTAAACATTTAATTGAACCTTCCATGACAAACATTTATGTTATCATATTAACATATGACAACTAAGCCAGTCTCATATCATCAACTGTCTGTGGTATATTGATGCATGGCAGAAACTCATGTGAAGGCGGAGCTTAAAGAAACAGCTATAGGATGTGGGTGCGGCAACAAAAATGCAGGTAGATGCCATACATCAAGACAAAGAGCACTTGTAGAAACGAAGAGATGGGACCAAGAAGATGATACTTTGAGAATAAATTCCAGCAAAAAAACAACCTCTGACAAAAGGAGATTACCAAGTTTTGAAAATTAGAAATAGTTCCATCATTCTTCACACACAGAGAAGATGACATGTAAGTTCATTACTATGCTAACAATATACATTTATACGCACATATTATTTTATATTATACTGCTATATATATATATATATATATGAAAAATTGAAATACACATTTTCACTGGCTAAACTGTAGTTAAATCAAGATTTGATATATCAAGAAGTTGATATTTACATTATACTGAGCTCACACTGGCTTTTGTGTGTGGTGTGTTTTTAATGTAAAGACAGAAATGCAGAGAAACAGGTTGAGTGACAGTCTGGTAGTCTCATCCACAAACTCAAGATGCCAAAGTCAAACAGAAAGAATGTGCTGACAAAGGATGATCAGTTGTGGGAGTGTTCAAGGCGTTTTTTTGTACTGTACATACATTGATGTTCTGGATAATCTTGATAAATTCAAATAATTTTTTTAAAATCCATTGATCACAAATGTCAATGTTGTGACTACGAGTATAGATCATATGTTCTTTTCATGCCAGTATTTTATATAGAGGCAAAAGCTCCATCATTGTCATGATGATTTTATAACAAATATTTAGCTCCGATAAAATAGGACGGGACTCCACAATTGCTTACATATTTCACTGCTGAATAAAAATCTATCAAAACTAAGCAAAACTAGTTTTATAATTGATACTTAAAAGCACTGTGAAACGTACTAATCATTTACTGACAATACATACACACTAACAAAGTATAACAAATATTCTCTGCAAAACACATGCAGCAAACTACATGGGTAATCAATGTCAAATATTTAAAGTCTGGTTTTATGTCTTTCAAAGAGCTGCCAAACTGTAAAACTGTGCACTGCATGATTATGCCAGAGATGTTATCCTTACACTCATAAAACACATAAGCTGATGCATGTGAATAGCACTGCACTTGAATTACTGGATATCAGTTTACATTTAGTGTTTTGAAGTTGGTTGGTAAGTTAATGGTGGTAATATATATATATTTCTTTTACAGTATGTCTAATTCAACTAACGCAACATATTTATGTGTACCAGGCACTCTTTGTGGTAAGTAATGTGTTATGTTCAATTTACCGTTCAAAAGTTTGTAGTCAATGAGGTTTAAAAATATATATATTTTTAATAATAAGAAATAGATTTTTTTTTATTTACAAAGGATGCATTACATTGCACACAAGTGAAAGTAAATACTTATAGTGTTGCCAAAGGTTTCTAATTAAAATAAATGCGAATTTTACATTCATTAAAGAATACTGAAAAAACTATTTCTACCAAAATATTAAGCAGCACAACTGTTTTTAACATTAATAATGAAAAATATGTTTCTTTAGCGCCAGATCAGCATATTAGAATTATATTTGAAGCATCATGTACAATATTGCCAGTTATGCACTGCATGTGCACACTCAATTCTCTCAATCTGTTACCAAAATTTGACAGCACATGATACAAATAATTCAGCTTTCTAATCTCATTGTGTCTCTTATTTTTATTTTTTTTTTGCAGAGGTGCTTTTTTTTTTAAGTCGAACTGATTGTCATTCCGGTGCTGTTTCTCCTGGCTTTTCTGGTCACGCTGATCATTTTGTTTGTGCTCAGATGCTCCCATAAGCCATCCCATCTTTATGGACACCACAGAAATGAAAAAGACGACACACAACACCATCATAACACACACAGGCACCGTAACAGCAACAGGCGGCACCTGCAAGGCATTGATGGTAGCTACGGCATCTGACTTTGTTACACACTAAATACTCAAGTTGCTTGTTGTTTGTTGTGTTTATTTAAAGGTCTTCTGGTTCATGCATGATAGAAATGTTTATTTATAATCCTTCCTGACCATGCTTGATTGCTATGTTTATTTAAAGGGTTTCCCTTTATGAATGATCGCAATGTTTATTAATAGATTATCTTGTTCATTAATTATCAAAGTGTTTGTTGAAGGTCATTCTCACAGGTTATACACTCTTAAAAATAAAGGTGCTTCACGATGCCATAGAAGAACCTTTTTGCCCAAATGGTTCCATAAAGAACCTTTAAAGTCGGCATGAAATCAAAATTGACTTTATTTACTTTACTAGCGCACATTGCTAGTCTTGATGAGAACAATTAATCCGTGCAAGTTAATCCGCTGAAAAAAATGGTTTGTTTTGGTAATCTTTAATCAAAATCTGAACATTTGCTTCCGCTCTGGAATGGCAGTCCTTCACTGATGATGTCAGTTTGACGGCTTGGGCAGAATATCTTTTTAAACACACCCCTCCAACCATTAGTTTGATATGAGTGAGAGACAGAGAGGAGGAGCGCCAAAATAAAACCATGTAAAAGAACATACATAGGATTCTTTTAACATTTTTTTATTTCTTAATCTTTTGATTTACTTTGCAACAACAGCTCCAGCAGAGCTGAACCCAATGGAACATGAGATTATTCCCATGACAGCCCAACCTCACCATGACATGCAGAATTCAAGCCCTGCAGTACCTCAGCAAACCACCGAGAGGCATCCGGGCCTCTTTCAGCTGGTCTCTCCACTTCCTCTCACCTTCTCAGTAAAACAAGACAACACCATCACCTTGCACAGAGCTGTCATTGACAGACAGCCAGTCGTTTTACGAGTGCTTAAAGGTAAGGTTAGATAAGTGTTATTTTATTATTTTTTATTATTAATATTATTT